TTACACACTGGCCCTATCTCCAGGTGTGTCTTCCTGCCAGACCAGGGCGCCTTCTTCGTGAACTATGTGATTGCCTCGGCCTTCATCGGCAATGGCATGGAGCTGCTGCGGCTGCCAGGCCTCATCGTCTACACCTTCCGCATGGTCATGGCCAGGACAGCCGCTGACCGCAAGAACGTTAAGCAGGTGTGCCTCTGACTCCCTCCAAACCCCAGGCCTCATACCTCCCAGCTCAGGTTTGGCCCACTCCTTCTTGCACCTGGACCAGGGCCGCCTCTGCTGGGAGCTTCTCCATAACGTGGGCTCCTTAATGTGGGAAGGAGAAGAGAGCTTGGCACTTCTGCACTGTGACCACTTTGGCTGCATCCATACATACACTTAGAGTCCCCAGGTTCCTGGGCCCCAGGTGGCACTCACTGGTAGAACACTGCTTAGGGAGCCCCGGGCCCTGGGTTCCACCAGCACAAAGAAAGGACAAGGTGGGGTTGAGAGCACAATCCGTGCCTTTCCATGGGCATCCATTTGCATGTGTTCTTAGCAGAGCCCAGCTATCAAAGGCATTTTGAAATTGCAGCATTTGTTCCAGCACTCCCTAAATTAGATGGCCTGGGGACCTCTCTTATTGCTCTGCCTTGGTGGGTGCTGTGAGAGAGGCAAGGATAATCTGTTTAATCCTCAGGGTCCCCTTGTAAGACCAACAGCACTACACTTCCTGTTTCTCAGAGACACAAATTAAGCTGGCCGAGGCATCATGGCCAGAAGGGGCTGAGCGGGTGTTTCCTGTGGTACCAAGTCTGGGAATCACTCTACAGCTGTCCTTAGGCCAGCTCTGCCTCATGGCCGCTGACTCCAATCCCTGTGCTTTGAAGACCTGGGTGGGCACAGTGTCACCTTCCCTGGAGGCCTGGCCTTCTGCTGCCTCCCTGTGCCCTGGAGTCCTGGGCAGACTGAGAAAATTCCACTAGCTGGGCCAGGGTGCCAGTTCTTCTTGTAGCAGGTGGCTGAGTCTCCTGCCACCTGAGCCCCCAATCCTTGTCAGGCAGGGAGGGATCGGAGGGCTAGCCCTGAACTCCTTGTCACTTCTTGCTCTCAGAACCAGGCTTACCAGTATGAGTTCGGAGTCATGTATGCCTGGATGCTGTGCATCTTCACTGTCATCATGGCCTACAGCATCACCTGCCCCATTATCACGCCATTTGGTGAGTGACCCTCTTGCCCACACGTGGACAGCTGCTTCCACCAGTCCTCAGGGACAGACTTCATAACTATGGAGCTCCAGCTCAGTGGACCTCTTGTGGCCACTGAAACCACTGCTGCCAGGGAAACACATTGCATCAAACTTCACATCAAGTCTGAATAAACTCTGTCTGGTGCATCCCAAGTGTGACCTCCCTTAGTGCTTCTGTGTGACCTTTCTGTGGGCTGACCCTGTCATGGGGTCACTCTTGCCTCTATATGCATGCTGGGGATCAACCTGAGGGCTCTACATATGCTCAGCATGCCCTCTACCACTGATCTCCACCAGCCCCCACCTGAGAGCTTGCATCCTACACCAGCACTATCTTGCTGTTGCTGGTGCTGCTGCTGCTGGTGTTGGTGATGCTGCTGCCTCAGCCAGCTCAGTGGAGCACTTTTGATTACATGCCAGGGCCTGGGCTCCATCTCCCCAGCCCTGGAAAAACAAAGCCAGCACCCTCCTGTACCCTGCTGTGCCAGAGCCTCAGGCTCCTTGGACTGTTAGGAGGCAGGAGGGTGGGGAGTTCTGAGGGATGGCTCAGTATGGAAGGCAAGCAGGGCTGGGCCAGGTACTCTGTGATGTAGGGCAGAATCACAGGGGCTCCTATTTCCTCAGAGTCAGGGAGAAGTGAGGGAGGAGGGAGAACAAGCTAGCAGTCAGGATGTGCTTTGCCCAATTTTGGCCCAGACTTTGCTCAACACCCCACCCTTAGCTCCATGAAAACGAACCTCCCTCCGAGAGCAAGTGGCCACCCACTCACAGCCCACCTTCCCAGGCCCTCCCTGGGAAGTCAAGGGTACTTGACTTCACTTCCCTCCTCTGGCATTTGCACACTTCCCTCCTCTGTCTCTTGCACACACACCCACACCCCCACTGGGAGCTCAGAGTCAGCTGGTGCTATTGTTGTGGTGTCAAGTTGTCTCTGCTTAGCGGGTGTGAGTTCAGCCCACCCACTCACAGCCCACCTTCACAGGCCTCATCTACATCCTGCTCAAGCACATGGTGGACCGGCACAACCTCTACTTCGCCTTTCTCCCAGCCAAACTGGAGAAGAGGCTGCACTTCGCTGCCGTGAACCGGGCCTTGGCTGCACCCATCCTCTGCCTCTTCTGGCTCTTCTTCTTCTCCTTCCTGCGCCTAGGTGAGTGCCCTCTGACCTGGGCCGCCCTCTGCCTCATAGTCCCACATCCACCCATGTCAGCCAGTCATCAGGTACTAACTTGGCATCTGATCAAAGCATGGCACCCAGGCAAGGCCTGGGTGTATGGTGTCCATGGTCAGCATGCCAGCTGGTTCCCCACAGACATGCCAGGCTGAGGACAGCTCTGGGGGACTGAGCCAAAGAAGGGAAGCTGGTCTAGACTGCTCTTATGGGTGCTGGGTGGTCCTTGACTTCACTATCCATAGTGTGGAGATGATGGAGGAGCCAGAGAGACAAGGACACTCAACAGAAAGCAAAAGGCAGTAGACTTGTGGGTCACCTCTGCTCCTGGCTCTAGGGACTCCATTCTGACTGCTGCATGAGACTAGGTTGCAGAGCCAGGCAGACTGGTGCTGTCTCCCACAGCAGACACTCCCCCGCCAAGACAAGCATCTCTCCCCAGGTCTAAAGGCCCCTGCCACCCTGTTTACCATCCTGGTCGTGCTTCTCATGTTCCTGATCTGCCTGGCGTATACCTGCTTTGGCTGCTTCCGGCACCTCAGCCCTCTGCACTACAAGGTACAGAATCTAAGGAGATCATGATGTCCCCACCCCTTCCTGAGTCAAAACAGCAGCACCCTTCTTGAGATCCACCCCTCCCTGGGAAAGGCAAGGGTACTTGGATGTAACATGCACTTCCCTCCCCTCCTCTGCCTCTTGCACACACACACACACCCACTGGGACCTCAGAGCCAGCTGGTGCTGTTGTTCTGGTGTCAAATTGTCTCTGTTTAAAGGGTGTGAGTGCAAGGAGATCAAATTTTCATCATGCATCTCTTCACTGTTATCTGCAGACAGAAGAATTGGCAAGACAGGAAGGAAGCGAGGCAGAGGCCCAGGAGCCTGCACCACTTACAGTAAGCCGTCGGCTGCTTGTTCACTGCTTTCTACTCTTGTTGCTCTGGGGATAGAAGTCCCATGTGCCCTGCCCATCGACTCCTAAGATAGGAGACCTTTAATCATGGGGCAGGCATGTTTCTGAATTAGTGTCAGTGGAAAAGGAATCCCCAGTCCCTTTGGATTTTTTTTCTTTGCAACACTGGGCATCAAACTCAGGGCCTTGAACACAGTGGAGACAGTGCTTCATGCCTCAGCCCCTCCTTTCAGGATATCTGAAATTTGTCACTCATTGAGGAGGTGACTGATCTCTGCACTGTGTGCCCACTCTGATGCCAGCCCCTCCTGGCTTGTTTTTCTTCAGTCGTGGTGCTTGTGAGTCTGGGCTTTATCACCAGCCACTCAGTTGCCCTCTGAGGCCCTCACTGGCACCAGAATGCTCTGAACAAACCCCTTGCTTCTCCCTGCCTCTGGCCTCTGGGGTCCTGCACGTGGGACCTGGGTCCCAGAGCTGTGGGGCACGAGGTTTGATGGGGCTGGCCCCCTCTGCAGTGCTCTTCCCAGGTGGTGGGCACTCTCATCAGTGTACAAGCCCCACAAGACAAGGTCCTGAACCCCCAAGTCAGGGAAATGCAGGCCCGAAGGAGGGTGGAAACCCTGCTAGGAGGAGAGAGGCTCACGGCCCAGCCAGGCAACTGCACCAGGGACTGGGAGGAAACATCATTTACAAGCCCAGTGTAGACAGATTTGTTCCCCCTGTAAAGTGAGAGATTCTAGATCCTGTGCTGAGAATTGGAGGAAGCTTCTCTGTTGTGCTGTCTTCTGTGTGATCATAAGAACTAGGGTTGTGGTGTGTTTTCTGGTTTACCCAGGCTTATGGGAAGTTCTGTAGGTGGCATAGTTTGGGTAGCACTAACTCCCATTTGCTAGCAGCTGTATGTGCCCAAGATCCTGAGTAGTCTGGCCTCGGAGAGGACAGCCCTGACCCTGCAGCACCAGCGGACCTATGGCACCATCAGTGATGTCAGTGGGAACCTTCTCGACCAGGACATGGCCTGTAACCCAGAAAACAGTGTGATTTCTTCTACCGCCACAGCAGGCCACCTGTGAAGGCACTGTCTGCAGAGCAGAGCTCATTCCATCCCAGAGGGGAACTGACCTGCCCGTGGGTTTATGGTAAAAGTGGACCCCCACCACCACCAGCCCCCACCTCCAGCTCTACCGCTGGAACAGTCCCCAGAGTCTGTAGCCAAGATCATGTTTTGGAAGTTCTCTCCCAGATTGGCCCTGATGATGATGTTTGCCATGGGAAGCAATGTGAAAAGGAAAAGACCAGGTGTCTACCCACAGAACTACAGCAAGGGTCAGCGCCAACCCAGTCCTGCCACAAGACTATGTCCTGTTTTCCTAGGATTTCTGTGGTGGCACCGAGGTTGCCCTGTCATAGGCAGGATCTATGAAGACCATTAATAAAGTGCCTTCGGGAAAGGCCAGTGGGCAAGCGTGTGGGTCCCCACATCTGCTGGGGTTGGGAAGGCTGCAGCCTGGTGGGAAGGCAGGCAGTCTCTTCCCTCTTTGAGCTTAGCCTCCCACATACTATGGACTTTAGTCCATAAGGCTCTCCCCTGCAGCTTTCAGAGCTTGGTCTGGGACAGGAAGGGGACAGTGCTTTCCCTTGACCCCATGGTCCACCCAGACTGCATGTCTCTGCATGGCAGCACCTTATGCCCAGTGCCCCATAGGCATGGCCCCAGCTGCTCAAAGCTGGGCAAGGGAGTTGACATTGGTGTCACTTCCCCTTGGGCTCCCCTGATGTGGCAGGACCCCAGTAAAAACAACTGTCCCTTGGAAGGGGAGCCTCATGTGGGTGGCTCAGGGTGACCTGTGTCATTTTGCTCCCATGGTTCTGAAAAGTGACATCATTTACCATCCAAGCAAGTGCCTTCACAAGGGCCTGGAGTGAATGTGGGGCCAACCTTGGTCCTCAGAGTTTAGGGTTGAGGTTTAGGGGCAGCGGCCCTTAAGGGCAGGCAAAAGGGAATGGTGGCTGGGAGGCCATGGTACTACCAGTCATTGTCTCTCTGCCAGCATCACGAACTTGTGGATGTCCTGGGCCAGAAGCTCAGCCTTCTCCTGGGCAGGGAGGTGGGCCCCACAGGCTAATAAGAGTGGGAGAGGAGCTTGGGCCATTTGGCCCTCACCCACCTCTCAAGAAGGGGGAGTAACTCATAGGGGAAGGCAGTGAAGCCAGTGGGCATGGAGACCTTCACCCTATGAGGACACAGGATCAGTGGAGGGGTCTGATGGTCACATGCAGCCATTCAGAAAGGGGCAGACCAAGGCTGCCATGGCCTCCCACCCATGCCTAAATTGAAGCTCCCTTTCCTGACAAGGATCTGAGGTAGCCTATGGTGCCCACATTGGCCACCTTATCCCCAGGGCCTCCCAGATCCCCTCATTCCCCTACCTGAGTTACAGGCCAGGTTGCCCCATGCTCCTGGCCAGACTTACCACTGGTGCTCTGGTTTATCAGACCTTGGTCAAGGTTCTCCTTGTAGTATCCCATGGAGGAGATGATGGCCCTTGTCATCCAATAGGCCATAGTGTTGATCAGCAGATCATCCAGGAAATATTCCTAGAACATAGAACAGGAGACTAGACTGAGGCAGGAATAGAGCAGAGTAGGCAGAGTGCTGTGTGGCCCCAGCCCTGCCACGGTCACTGATTCAGGTGGTGTTGGATCCTGGAAGAGGCAGGCTGGGCTCAGGGTACAGGCTGTTGTGAGGACCATGATGCAGAGTACTTTCATGCATTTTAACTCAAGTAGTCCCCTCAGTGACCTAGGGGGGTGCACTACTGTCATCTCCATGGTGTTCCACCTGAGCACTTTGGTCAGGACACCACTCCCCAGCCCCACCTGTCCTCACCCTTTGAGCTCCCATAGAAGGCTCTGCCAGCCCCACTCGCCAGGGAAGCCCAGTTCTGAGTTCCAGGTTTCTGCGGGATCCTGCCCAGGATGGAAGAGGCAGTGAACTAGGGGGCCAGGAATCAGGGACCCAGGTTCCAGTCTCAGCCATGTTACTACAGAGCACTGGGACTCTCAACTCTTCACACTGTGCCTGCATCGGTTTCTCCTTTGATAGTCAACAGGGAAATGATACTTGCAGAACAGGTAAATTATAAAAGGAGCCCTGATACAGAGTCCCAATCTATCAGTGAGAGCCTGGTGAGTCAGAACCTTGGAACCCGAAGTTTGCCCCTGTCCTCAGTTATAAAGCGCAACTGTGTTCTGGAGTTGGGGCTCTGAGGAAGCATCAGGCTGGGCACCTACTTGGAAGAAGAAACTTAGGGCCAAAAAAGAGACTGGGTTGTGAGACTGACAGGGGCAATGACATGGCACAGGGACATATTTTGCTTGGGTGGAGGGAGCAGTTGTGGAAGGCTTCTCAGAGGAGGTGATCTCCTCAGAACCAAGACAGAATAGACAGATCAGGATAGACTGGCTTGGCAAGGGCAGTACTCCTGAAACTAGAGGAAGCCTCAGGGGCCAGGCCTACCCTCCAAAGGAGGGTCCTGAGGAAGGAGGATGACAAGGCCAGCCTCTGCCCTCAAGGAGCTAGGAGGGGCTGATGGGCCACAGCTGTAACACCATCATGTGGCATTCGGCAGTAATTACAGCCTCAGAGCTCAGGACTGGCTAGCCTGCTCAACCCGCCAACATGCTCACCTGTGGCTTTCTGCCACTTGACCCCTGAGGACGCAGCCCTCCGGTAGCCCCATCATAAACCCGCACTCTCCATTCCAGCAGCCAGTGCCTTTGAGAGTCCATACCTACGTGTGTCTAGGTGGGGAAAGGCCCAACCATTGTCCCATGGCTTCCTTGCTGCCCTCTTTGAAGACATGTAAGTTCTCCATGACTGTCGTGGCTACAGCCCAACTTTGTCTGGCTTAGAGGCAGTGCTGCCTTCTTCCCCTGGGCCCTGAGTGCCTCCACCTGCTCCAGCTCTTGGCCCACCTCTGCTGGCCACCTTCTGCCTACCACAGTCTAAGCAGTGTCTCATGCTGTGACCAAGGGGGCAAAATGGACCTTTCAAAATTAGTATTGTTTTCTTGCTTCATCATACTGAGGACAGAAACTTACACACACACACATGCACACACACACACACACCGGGTTCTGGTAGTAAGCAAGTTTCAAGGAATCAGATTTCAGATTTCCAGCTTTTTCTAGGCCCTCTAGGGGCTGCACAAAGCCTAGCTGAATTACACTTCTACCCAGAGTTCCTGGCTTCTGTCTCACCCTCCTATATACTGGACCTTTAAGGCACAGAAGAAGGATTAGCTGTCATCCCAACTTTTCTGAATTTTTTTATTTTAAAGAGAATAATAAAAAAACAATAGCAAACTACTGACATCACAGACATAAACAAAACAAAGTGAGAACATTAAAACTGATACAGGGTTTCACAACAAAATGCTAGGAATTAACAGTGGTTGTTTTAGTACATATTGTTATCTTCAACGAAGTTGTTCAGATTACCAAATGTAAGAATGGAAGATTGATCAAACTATTAAAGAGAATAAAAATAATAATAAAAAAACATTAGAGATGATACAAAGTTTCAGTAGACAAGATGGTAGGAATTCACCAATGGTTGTTATATTGCATATTGTTATCTTCAAATTAGTTGCTCAGATTACCAAACATAAACATACACAACTGATCAAAATATAAAAAATTTAAGTATTAACTGTTTTTTTCAATAAACCACCAGACATCAGCAGTAGTTATCCTAGCTATCCATATATATAT